GCCTACTAAATGCAAACGCAGACGCACTCTCCCGTATAAACCCGGAATCTGGTCAAAACATGGAAATCAACGCACATCCAGCTGATAACGATAACGATAACGATGACAGCATGACACAACACTCTGCCGATACCGATGACAATGATTTTATTCCAGCAACGGAAAGACCACTCAACGAATTCAGGAACCAGATTGTTCTTGAAGAAAGCAACGAGGATAGCCGCGAAGCATCAACCATCTTTCAAAATTATCACAGAATCACAATTAAAAAACCACATTTTAGTCCCGCAATTCTAATAAACATTTTGAAGGACTATGCTTCCACGAAATTCACAACAGCATTATATTGTAGCGAAAAAATATTAAGCAACCTGCAAACCGTTTACAAGAACTATTTTTCGAGAGCAAAGTCATTCAAAATTTATTGGACGCAAAAGATGCTAGTTGACGTTACCGATGATTTGGAACAAGACCAAATTATCCAACGACAACACAATGCCAATCATAGAGGAATAAATGAAACAAAATGTCACATCTCGCGGAACTATTTTTTTTCCAAGGATGAAGAGTAAAATAACAAAATTCATCAATCTCTGCAAGTTGTGTCAAAAGGCTAAGTATGAAAGGCATCCATATAAGCAAAAGTACCAATTAACAGCAACTCCAACAAAGCCGTTACAAATTGTACATATGGATATCTTTATTATAAATAACAAAAATTATCTAACACTTTGTGATAAGTTCTCCCGACTAACCATGGCTATTCCTATACAAACACGTAACGCTATTCACATACTAAAAGCACTAACTCATTTTCTTTCAAATACTGGAAAACCTTCCCTTCTCGTCATGGACCAAGAGGCTTCGTTTACTTCCACAACTATAAAGGAATTTCTTGAAGAGAATGGTATAGAATACCATTATACAAGTGTTGGACAGTCCTCTTCTAACGGACCTGTGGAAATAGTTCACAGAACGATTAGAGAATTGCACAACATTCTAACCAATAAAGAATCAACAAGAGATTTATCAGAAACCACAAAAATAAATTTGGCTGTGGCTATTTACAACGACTCAATTCACTCACAAACAAAGTTGACTCCTAAAGAATTATTCTTCGGATTTCGAAATGAAGACCAAGTCCCTGAGGATCTGGACGAAAGAATCAGACAGAAAGAGAAACTTTACAGGATCTTCTCTAAAAGACAGAAAGAGAAAAAATTAAGAGACCTAGAAAAGCTCAATCAAAATAGAGAGGAACCTGAAAATTTTTCACCAAACGACACGGTTTTCGAAAGGAAAAGGAATAATTTAAAACATCAAGAGAGATACAGAGAGTTGACAGTTGTAGATAACACACAGACTAATATCATCGACGAGAATGGAAGGAGAATACATAAAACCAAACTAAAACGAAAACGAAAAACTTGACTTCGAGTTAAACTAACATCAACTTTCTATTTTTCTTATATCATTTCAGAAAAAAAAACATATAAAAAAAATGAATTTATTCCATAAATTCCTAATACCTTATTCCATCATCCTCATCCAACCATATCCTATTCATTCCTCCCATATGGAGATACTTGAACTAAATAAAAACCCAGGCATCGTTGTATTCAAAACAAATTCAGTTTTTATAAAAGAAGGTTTCCACACTTTGATCCATGAATTCAACTTAGATTCATTCAAAATTATATTAAAACAATACGAATCAATTATTGCACAATTAGAAGAGAACCTCAATATTATAGAATTAGTTACCATTCTTAAACAAAAACAGATTCAAACTCATTCCATTCTTGAAAACTTGACAACAAAATCAAAAAGAACAAAAAGATCGCTTAACTTTTTAGGATCTACCATAAAAATGATTACTGGAAACTTAGACAACGAAGATTTGTTACAAATTGAAAATCAATTGGAAACATTGAAAAATTCTAATAATGTACTTATTACTGAAAACAACGAACAGGTTAAGATAAATGAACTATTTGAGAGTAGAATGAATAATCTAACTAAAATGGCTTATAGACAGACTAGGGAAATAGAGAGTATCATAAAACAAAATATTTTAGGGTTAGATAGGGCAGTAGATTGGAAACACGTACTGCATGTACACAACATCATATTCAACATCGACATGGTTCAACATCAGCTGACAACAATTTTCGAATCCATACAATTGTCGAGACTGGGTGTCATATCGAAAGCCTTATTACAACCTTCCGAATTGGATTTTGCTACACAACTTTTGGAATCACAAGGCATAACGATTGAAAGCTACGATCAAACTTACGAATTCTTGGAACCCGTAGCTTTCCACAATGGCTCCAAAATAATATTCCTCATAAAAATTCCAAAACTTAGACAAGGTGAATATGTGCAACTTCATATAGAAACCATCCCCATTCGAGGAAAAATAATCCCGATAAATGCAACAAAAGCCATTATCGGCAACGATGAAACATTTTTGATCATTCATCCATGCATAAACGTCGAGAAAAGCAACATTTGCGATATCGAAAATCTTTTCAACGTTTCCAACGACAATTGCCTACATCAGATATTACGTGGAAACATTGGCAACTGCACCTTTACGAAGTCTTCAAATAAAACGGAGGTAAAGTCAATCAAGGACCTCGGAGTGTTAGTCAAAAACTCCATCGAACCCAGTCTACTACAAAACAACTGCGGGTATGGTCCAAGAAACTTGACAGGAACATTCCTCGTTTCATTCAAAGACTGTTCAATTACCTTGAATGGAAACAAGTTCAAAAGCAGAACATTTAAAGGAGACATCAAGCTAACTATCCTTCCACTCCATTCAGTAAAGGTAGAAGAAATAGAAGAAGACACAAACTCCATCAGTAATCTGGAACAGCTGCACATTCACAACCGTCATAAGTTGGAATACCTATTACACTCAAACCAAAGGAATAAATCTTTAAGCTTTGGAGTCATAATTATGGTAGCATGTATCGTTGCAGTTTTCTCCGCTTTCATTTTGAAGGAAGTTCACCGACTTAAGCTGAAATTGACGATACAGGCCCCGATAGTGAACATGGCGGAAACTTCGCAAGCAGAATTGAACCGAGACGGTTCAAACTAAGGCGGGGGAAGTTATGGACATACCGATGCTCTACCCACGTCCACTAACCAACCGAACGTGGCCTAGACGCTGACTCGACAACATCCCCGTATTCGACTCCATGCACGAGGCACCTGGCGACAAGAATCAGCATATCACACCACATGGATGGAAACAGGCCAACGCTTACTCGACAATGCACTTTGGACACCGAAGAATTCGATGACCAGCAATTGTCAACATAGCAGTTGACGATCGGTTACCACCCAGAGGAGTTTTGCTGAGACTGCAGGAACAACAAACAAAACCAGTTGCAGAGGCAGGAGCGAGCGTAGTTTTTGTTAGGTTCTAGTTGAGAAGAGTTGTTGTTCAGACTTAGTGTTAAAAGTTAAATGTAATTACCTGTAAGAAGATAAAAAATAATTTTTTTTTTATCATGCCAAGAATCATCCTGGCATAAGTATGAATTCCAGAATTAACATGGAATTCAGCTCTGAATTACCTTGAAATTGTTCTGAAATAAGCCAGAAAACACCACGCGTAATAATTACCGTTGAATTCTTTTTAGAATTTCCTTGCAATCCCTTCTTTTTAATAGAAACTAAGCGATCGATTCAACCTCTGGTGATGAATAGAAGAACGTCAAAAAGAGTGATGTGAGCTGAAATTTTTGCCGTGAGACATAGGAAGCGGAGCACTGTTTTACTTTTCCTGATTAATTGATTAATCAGAGATGCTCCCAAACTTGATCTACAGTTGAAGGTGGTGTTCAAGAATATTTTTGTTGAGAAAAATGGAAAATTAGAATAGTGCCTTAGTGGTTATGATCTTCCGGATTTCTTGTGTGTACATAGTTTGAGTGCAAATTAGTTCAGATCAGTGGAAAATCATACAATAAGACAATTACCGATGGAAATTAACAAGATGTTGAATGAAAAATGCTTTAATATGTGTTGTAAAAAAATCTTATTCTGATGTAAACAAACGGTTTGGTTGACGTTTCCTCTCGAGCTCAAGGCCGGCGCACAATAGATACGTTTTCAGATTTTTTGACAGTTAGCCCATGCATTATCTGTCAAAAAACCCGAAAACGTATCTATTGTGCGCCGGCCTTCACGGGGCGCACTCTACGTTGATGGTTCATTAAAAAGGCGTATCTTGGGAATCTTCTTAAATCACATTTATCCCTTCAGTAAATTCCTTTCAGCACGTCCCTAAAAATGCGTTCAATTTCGTTTTTTTTGTTGAATATTAACAACCGGGAATTTTTTAAGATTTGAACCGGGAAAAAACCGGGAATTTCAAAATGAAAATTCACTGGCCACCCTGCATGTGGTATTTGATCGAAACATTTGAATTTAATTTGGAATTCTTGAAGAACTCAAAAACACATACCAGTATTTTGCTTTTTCCACTTAGTTTCAAGCAATTTGCTTCAATCCAGATTGTATTTGTTTAATCTTCTTAACGAAAAATGTTACGCTTACCCCTCATCAACAAATTTTAGCCTTCTGTCAGTTGACCCAACTAATGAATCGAATGGCTCAACCAGCGAATTTCGGCTGTATTATAATAGTTGAAATTTCTATTTCCTTTTGACCCCCTCAAGTAGTATATTTATGATAGAGATTTTCAGCCGGTGGCTGGTGGAATCAGGATTATGGATATCCAAATTCAGTGCATAAAATGGTCACTTCATGTTGATGAAATTAATTATCGTTTCGTAGCCCCACTTATCGAACAGCTTAAAAAAGGGAGCGAGGCAAAGCAACTTCATAACAGAGTGGAGATAAAACAATGCTTTATAAATTAATTATTTTTTGGAAACTATTATTAGCAATGCGGATTTTTCAAAATTGCTCAAATTGATCATAATTGGCCCTTTCACACTACGGGATCATTAAATTACCTTCATAAAAGTGGCAATCAACTGCTGCTTTCTGCGACGTGCTTCCTCCTCCATATCGGCTCGATGCTGCAGATACCGAGCCCGTTCCTCCTCGGACATTTTGGCCAGCTTGTTCTTGTTGCCTCCCTTTTTCTTGCCCATGTTTTACCAATTAATTATCAACTTTTGCTCTGAAGATTTTTAAAAATTGCACCACTTGGTGAGTTTTACAACGTTGACTAAACAATCAAGATTGTTTGGATTATTTCGCCGCTCGGCACTAACGTTACTGCGGAAACGGATACAACCCGTTTCTCCCGGTTCCTACAAGTTCGTGTGCATTGAAGCGCATGACTATAGCGGTCCCTGGCAACGTTGCAAACGTGTACCAAAACGCGTGTTGAATCGATGCGTTCTGGTTCGCCAGATACGCACAATGCAATAGCTTGAGACACGTGGGAAATGGCAGACGCAACTGAAGAAATCTTCGCCGGCGATTCCGAGGAGGACATCGAAACGGTCAGGAAAAAGATCGAGAAGATTCGCCTGGAGATCATGGCGTACGGTGAGGGGGAGCACGATTCGTACGATCCGGAAAGTCTGCAGAAGGTGGAGTTTAAAATCCAGATCAACCGGGTTACGTTGATCCTGCAGGAAATGTCCGAAACGTTGGAGGTGCTCTTCAGCTTACCGTTGATTTGTCGAAATCAGGAACTCATGGCGGAGCACTTTAATGCCGAGGAACAGGACGTGCTACGGGTGCTGTGCAAGTATATGCGATCTAAGGATGATGGAGGTGGTCCAGTTCCGGAAGTGGTCAACGTGAGTGGGTTGGGCATTTGCTATAGATTTCATTTTTTAAATAACGAATGCACATCTTTAGATGGCCGATTTCCAATTTCCTTCGACAAAGTTCATTGAGCTTGTGGACATGATCTCGAACAAGGATCTTCACAAGGCTATTGTGAATCAAGTGAAGAATGTAAGATGAATTTTTTTTCAATGATTGATCTTTAAATTGAATATCGTAAATTTAGCTACCAGGTGTCTACAGGAAATTTCTGTCCAACATTCGTGAATTCCGCAAGTTCACGATCAGCAAAATGAACATGACCGCCCAGAAGGATCTGGCTAAGGAGAAGATCCTGCACCGAATGTGGCAATCAAATGAACGGAACATGAAGAAAATTGCCAAAATCGAGCAGGTTTTGGACGAAAAACAGGCTGCCTTCCGCAGGGAAATCGAAGAAAAGACAGCCATCATCGAAAAGTTTCGAGCTGACATCAAACGGTTGGAGGAGCAGAGCAAGAAGCAAATTACTGCGTTTATGTACTAACTATTTCCAGTTGTAACTTGAGAATGGTAATCTAAGCTTGGTTTATTTTAGTGACGGATCGGATCGGGAGATGTTTCGTTATTTTGAACTTAGCGATCGAAGGTACGAGCAGCTACATGAGGAAGCCAACCGTCTGATAAAAGAGTATCAGAAAACGCTGAAGGAAGATCTTCGGGTGGAGAAGGAGAATCGATTGAAGAAGGCAACCCTGACTCAACAGTTACAGGTGTGGCTCAACAAGTACGACAAGGATGCTGGAGCGAGGACCAAGGAACTGAATGCTCTGTCGTATACCCTAAGAACTCGCCAGGAGGAATTCGATAAGTGGAAGGGAACCATGTTCGACCCACAGGAGAAGAAGTATTACCTGCTGCTTATACGGGCCCGAAACAATCGTTGAAGCTTTCTTTTTTCGCAGATATTTTGACGCTATTGAAGAACGACGACTGGACGAACTGCACGCACACCAGGAGTCGGTTCACCTTTTCATGATGAACCGGGCGGCTAAAGTGCTGCAGCGCGCCTGGCGTTCGGTGGCCGAACGAAAGCGCAAAATGCGGGGCCGTCGTGGTGGACGGCGCGGGAAGGGCAAAAAGTAAATCCCGAACAAATGTATTTTCTACCTCCGAGAATGTCACAACGATACCGCAATCTCATAATCAATCCCAACCATACACAATCAGAATCAATCCCAGTATTGGAAGTAATTTAGTACAGAATATGCAATCAACATTTTAATAGGAAGTAAAATTATGCTACTATTTCATTCGTGCAAGCTTTTTTGCGAATACAATCTTCGGAAGGTTACATATATGTTGTCCCTGATTTTGTATATCAATGTAAAACACAAAGGTGTGTAAATTTTTGCGCTGTTGAAATGAATAAATCGAGTGGAGTTTGAACGGATTTTTTATTAAATTTGTTGCAAGACGCTGGATTTGTTGTCAAAAAATGACTACGACAACCAGAGAAAGAGAAAAACAATCACAGTGAACTTCGATAATGTTGTTACCAAACTGCAAGATTTCTCGTGTCACTTTTCAAATAGACCAATGTAACAAATCCGTTATTTTGAGAAAATCGAAGTTGAAGTTCGACAGATTATTATTTTAACTGTTTATAAACAATTAATTTTGTAATACTATTTTTAGCGTAGTCAGTGAATAATAGTGTTGGGTCATATTTTTTGTCAGTGTGCTGCTATTGTGCCGCAGATGTGCCAATTGTGCCGGTCATAGAGCAAGCTGCGATTGTTTGTAAAATAGAGATTGCTAAAGTATGATTGTGTCAGTGATTTGTTTTCATCGGGAAAATTTTCCGCTATAAAGTTTTTTTTTCCCGATGAAAACATTTTGCGTATACGTATACGTGACGTAGTGTGCGTACGATAAACGTCAGCAATCTCTATACCCATCCCGGCAACTCGATATTTGTGACACCTTGAATGTTTTGGTTTGAAACCGCAAGGATAAATTGGATTGTTGGTGTTTTGTGTTCATAAAATAATAAAAGTCCTGTGTTTTAGGGTTTTATAATGCTCTCAAAGGCAAAACAGAAACCTAGCCTTTCGTGATGTGAAAAGCAACGGTCTATGAGCGGCCGAAAAGAGTTGGAACCGGTGCGGAACATTGTTTGAGTCTGACTATAGAGGATGATGAATATGACTTCTTTAGTTTGTTTTGTGTGAGTTGCAGCATAATTTGAATTAAGGATGCTAATGGAGTCTGATTAATTGCCTCTTTCTATTGAGCCCACTCTAGAACTCCCATTTCGTATTTAGATCTATAAGTGAACCGAGAAGTGAAATGCTGTTCTGAGTTCCTCTAGTATATTCTATTAGAGAATGTACCTGAATATACAGTCAAACAGCACGTAATGTTGTGAACAATGACAGTTGTCCAGCAGTGCTCCCAATTCCTACGAGATTGTGTCGAAACTGTACCGATGGATGTGCCCAAGCTATGCCGAACCAAATTTCGACACAATGTGATGAATGACTTACACCTAGACTTACACCTTGGTAGAAACGGTAAAATCACAATTTGACTTTGAAATTCATGCTATAGAAATATAGAAAAACACGTAGGACGTTTTAACAAGTCTAGTTGCAAATCAGACATGTTACATTTGACGATTGTTCTCAATGACATAATCAATGAGTGTTACATTGGACGTTTTGTTCTACATGATACTAGATTCCCTTTCACAGATTTCAGAAAATAAGCACCAATCATGGTAGGCAGTCCAAATGTCCGAAGTAACAATCACGTATCCGTAATGGATCAATGAAAATGCTGAGGTTTTGACAGAACTATGCTGTGGCTACCACAGTATTTTACATATGATCGCCCATATACAGTAGCGCCAAAAGCATGCCGTGGTGGGTTCAAAGCTCGATTAGATGCTCAATTAGTGATCTGTTTCAAACTGTACATTGAACAATGTTTGACCTGTTATCATAAATAAAAGAAAGTAAATTTGGATGGGTGTTTTTGTATCACATACAATGATAAAAGAGCAATAGCAACAATCAATACGAAACTAACGATTTTAAATTGGCTCACCACTTTAGTAGCCTATTGGTCCCAAGCAAACGATTAACGTACCCTATTCTAGTTGAAATTCTATTACTACACTATGTTTGTTTTGATTCGCTATGAAAGTTTGACAGATAACATCAGGGGTGTGTGGATTCATGCAGAACATGCAGGGGTGAGTGAAATAGCTTGGGACTGCTTGGGACCGTTGTTCTGGTACTGAGTGAGCCAAAAATAATAATGATTTTCTTCGGGACCCAGTGGTCTTAGAGTTACCTCTATGGCAATAGTGTGTATCGATTGCCCAATATTTTTCGATCGGTCTGAACTCAGGGAAATTCGGAGGATTAATCTCTTTGGCGACGAAATTAACATTGTTTGCAGCATACCATTCTACACTGATAACATTTCAAAGATTGTTTTTATGTGTCCCACACATGAATTTTTGCAATGTGATCAACAAATGATATCTATGTGTTGGACACATCCTTAAAAGCCATGTGAAACCACACATACTATTCATTTGACTCATAAATGTCATGTGTGCTTCTGGGTGGATTCTGTTTATGTGTGGTCACATGAAAATCATGTGGAATTTTATATGGAAATTCGTCAATAAAAATGTGTGGAATTCTATTAGTGTAGTGCCTCCTTAGAGTAGTGGCAGCTGGCTAGATCCGGCCAAAACATAAAGTTGGTCTTGTGTTGTCGAATGAAGGGTAAAATCCGCTTTTTCAGACACTCTTTAATGTAAACCTTCGACGTCATTGTGTGAGATGTGATGAAAACCTTGGTTTTAGAGCCACAACGGCATTCCTTGCCGAATCATTAGTTTTCGAGCAAACTTATCAGCAAAAACAAATTTATACCTGGAAAGGACATCCCCATGGCCAGTAGCCAGGTAAAATTTTCGTCCGGGATTTGTTTATAATCCATTTTGAAATATGTTTCGGTATCCATTAAAATACAAATTTCGTCAAAACTCGTTCATTTAGTAATCCTGCTCGCTTTTTGGCCACTAAATTTTGTTTCAGGGAGCAATTCGGATGTTCATCGGCACAAAAAGACTTATATCCTTTTCTTGAAAGGATGTTACGCACGGTGAAAAAGTTGGAATCGTATTTCTTTGTCAAATCACGTATGGGAGACACCTGGGTTGCTTTTCACGTACCTCAACACCTTTCTCCTCAGTTCTTTGTCCCTAGTGCCACTTTTATGATATGCGCGAGGCGCTGTGCTCTATCCACACTCAGAGTATCCTTGTAACATTTGATTACAAGACTCACTGTTGACTTTGGGAATTTTAACACTTTTGCTATTTTTGAGGCAGACCACGAAGGGTTCTCTAGATGTGTGTGCACAATAATCTTCTTTTCTCAAGTTCCATGATCCGTAATTTCGGGATGCGTCGATCAATCGAGAAAAACTTTCACCAATTTCTTCGTCAATGAAACATCAACAAATGCCTGTCAAACGTTTTTGTTCCAACCACCAGGTGTATTAAATCGTGCGTCCAGATTTACTTTGAATCGAGCTTTATTTTCCTTCTTATCTCAACTGGTTTCGAAGCTTAAAAGTGGGAAATTCAAATTGATTTCACATGAAGCGTTCGGTTACTATATCAGGATACTCACTCAACTCCCTCACCAGTCCGTCGTTACTCATCTTTACCGTAGCAAACTCAATCAGTTCAATTTCGAGTCAGTCAACGAGTCAACCCAACTGGCAGTTATGCTTCATTATATTGCTATTGCTCTCTGGCAAATAACCAGCATAGTCCTAGCATCATTAACCTGCTAAAATTCAAGAATTTCTGCTCATGCAGCTTACGGTAATTCCAACAATCAATACGAAACTAACGATTTTAAATTGGCTTACCACTTTAGTAGCCTATTGGTCCCAAGCAAACGATTAACGTACCCTATTCTAGTTGAAATTTTATTACTACACTACACTGAAACAAAGACCATAGTTAGGAATACTATTTTGCAGAAAACACTTATTTTCAATATAACTACGCTTAATGCCGTTAAATCTACCATAATTTCAGTATAGTTGACTAAAAATATAATCAAATTTACTACCATTTTGTCAAAACTACTATGCTTACTCAAACGGCATAGTAGTTTTGATAGAAAAAATAGTAAAATTAAATGAATTTCGTTTCTGCACAAATCTATTGGTGGGAGTATTTAATTTAAACCATCAATATAGTATTTTTGCCAATAGATTTTGTTTCTGTGTATGTTTGTTTTGATTCGCTATGAAAGTTTGACAGATAACATCAGGGGTGTGTGGATTCATGCAGAACATGCAGGGGTGAGTGAAATAGCTTGGGACTGCTTGGTGCTATAGCACCACCTTACGGTAAGCAACATTGGTGCTAAAAGAAAAACTTCAGCAGCGGAAGCTGTGCATCGCAGCCAACTTTACGCTGTTGATATGTGAATTAACGACGTAATAAAAAAAAAACACATTTTTCCTAAGACGTTTAATAAAGATATTGTTCAAGTTGTTCCTGTTATCTGCCGTGTTTAATTACGGGACACAACATTGTGGCGACGAGTCGGTTCGGTACGAAGTAGTTTTCGCGTCGGTTCTGTGGAATTCGCGATTCGAACCTCACAATGGCAAAGGGCGGAGATCTCGCTGACATCCTCGAGCAGATGAGCCGTTTGATGGAAGCGCAAGCCAACGCACAGAAAGCGCTTCTGGAACAGCTTGTGAAGCCGAAGGACACCGAGTTCCTGATGGAGGCACTGTCAAAAACGCTCCCGGAATTCTCATACGATCCACAAAACGGAGTGGTTTTCGACAAGTGGTATGCACGACACCAAGAAGTGTTTTCCAAGGGCGGTGCTGCACTCGAAGAAGCAGACCGAGTGAGATTGCTCCTGCAGAAGCTGAATTCGATGGATCACGACCGGTACGTGAATTTTATTCTATCGAGGACCCCACGAGAAATTACGTTTGCGGACACAGTGGAAACGCTGAAGGAAATGTTCGGTCACCAGACATCTGTGTTTTTCCGTCGTTTCCAGTGTTTACAAACACGCAAGCGA